TATTTTTGAAAAAAAATATATGGTTTAGCAGTTTAGGATGTGAAGTGCGCGAAAAACGAAGGACATATTTCTCGCCATTGTGCTTCAAATGGACACGCTCTTAGTGTAGCTCGGCCCGTTACTAGTTTCCGCTTGTGGAGAAACCTGTCAATCCGAATTTAAGTTATAGGCTTAGTACATGTGCTTGTATTTATGATTATTTTTTTTTTCTAGACAACGAACATGTTGATAACAAGGTAATAATTTTGATGACTCATCGAAAACAATATGTTAGCCTAGTCATTAAAGTTGATTGTGAAGGTAGTTGTGAAGGTTTTCAAGTACCGAGTTTGATTTGTGAAGTTGAGAACCTTTCCCTCCTAGATGTAAAACGAAATAGCTCTTTAGCACATAATTAATTAAATATTAGCTAAAAAACTTGAAAACTAAATTAGTATGATTTTTTAAAAAAACAAACCATTTAATAGCTCGAAAAGCGTGCACGTAAAAAGTTGAAGGTGAGGTTAGGAAAAGTCATCCCCGAACTCTACCTAATTTTTTTCTTCAGCAATAATAAAAATTGCAGATTTTAGCAACTAACAAATACCACTTTATTCATAAGGATAACATCACAGTTCACATATCACTTTGTCTCATACTTTGAGACAATTTCCAGGTAATTTTTCAAAAATTTTCTGACCGATTCGGCTTCCTGACAATGGGTAGTGGCCTTGTTGTATCTGTTTCAGTTTTCGACAAAAAAAGTTTCAAATTTGTTTTCGCTTCCGAAAATTTTCAAACAATGCTTTCCGTTTCTTACAAGAAAACATAGATATTTTTATAGTTCCAAATTTGTCTTACCACCTTCGTCCCAAAATAAATTCATTTTTCACCCATTCCACACGTAGCAATACAAAATCAAAAAAGACTAAAATACCCCTACTTTATCAAATCACAATATAATTATTCCTCATTTTATCTTCTCTCAATACAACTAATCCCTACTTTCACAAATTGCAATGCAATGGTTGCTCTAAAAATGAACTTATTTTAAGACAAACGAAAGGAGCTAAAAATTAATTTAATATGAGACGGAGAAAGTATATATCTATTTCTCTACCTACTTACTCACCTCACCCAATTGTAATTTTCCATCATTCAATTCCATCTCCTTTGGCTCCCATCTTTTGCCCTCCAACTAATAAGCCGTTAACAAATTTGATTTTTAAAACTTGATTTTGATGGTCTTTTTTTTAATCAAAGTTTATATTTCCCCTTTGGCTTTTAAATCACTAAGAACACATATAAAGTTTTATCCATAAATTACTCTTATTGTTAATAAATTGTACGGCTTATAATCAATCTTAGGCGAATCGATAACACAACCCTTCATCAATCCTCTAAAATTATTTATATTTAGAGACAAGTGAGTACTCTTTCTTTCTGTTTCATAAAAAAAACAACTTTTAGCCGGGAACCCAAAAATTAGTTTTGCAGGGGACAAGGGGAGTACTCCCTTTGTAAAAAAAAATATCAACCTCGCACTATAATGTGATATATTTTACTACAAAGAATCTGATATAGTATGTTGAGATTCATTATATTAGGATATATCGTATCCTAGTGCGAGGTTGGTTTTTTAGGAAGCGGTAGATTTTAAGATGGCATGAGTGCCGCGTCTTTTCTATCTTGTTCGTTCAATAGTCTGACAACTCTACTAAAACACTGTTCTTTCTAAGTTCATGGAGGTATGGAATATTCGCATTACACTTATAAAAAATGATTTACTAAAAAATTTCTATAAATTAATAATGTAAAATTATTTAGATAACGTACTTTTCACCTACTATTTGCTAATATTATAATCTATAAATTTTAATCAATCCAGCACACAGGCTCAAAATCAGTAACCAATAACCATTAACACGAATCACCTCATCGCACGTTTAACATCAGATCGCATTGAAAAATTACCATTTGGAGGAATACATAATTTCACACCAGAATTGCACATCAACCAGCCACGAAAAGGACTCTTTGTGAGCTTGAGGAAAGGGAAGTGTGCCGACTCTTTGGGCTCCTTGGCTCCACACACCCACGTGAGATCGATGGGGACCTTTGCACAGATTTTTCCTCGCCGGAGAGGTAGCTATCTCCTCCTCCTGTTTCTTCCAAATTCATCTTCCACGACATTGCCAACCAAAGTTCAATGAACATGCATGGACGATGTCACCGTGCAGATACAGTGCTCTCCTTTTCGTGGATGTATACAAAAGCAGATCACCGTTATGATATATCTGCGTCTTCGTGTCGCGACGACACTTCCCAAGACATAATATCTGAGCCTTATAAATTTTCGGAGGAAATAGTTTTTGTCCTCATGGATAGGGAACATTTCATAGGCATATCACATCGGATCAAATAATTAGGAGGTGCATATAGACATATGGACAACATATTCATTTAATTAAGGAGGAGGATATTTTGTAGGTCATGGTATGAAGTACTCCCCCGTCCCTAAATATAAGAGATTTTGGTTGGATGCGACACATTCTAGTACGATGTATTTGGACAGTATATAGCTGTGTTCGGAACTGTTGCTTCCCAGCTCCACCGTCTCGTCTTCCGCGTACACGTTTTTTAAACTGCTAAACAGTGTGTTCTTTGCAAAAAGTTTCTATACGAAAGTTACTTTAAAAAATCATATTGATCCATTTTTGAAAAAAACTAATACTTAATTAATCACGTGCTAATGAGCCGCTTCGTTTTCTGTGCGCACTGTGCTTGTTGGGAACCCATGGTTCTAAACACAGCTATAGACCTTATTATCACGGTAATATTCAGGGTTTGCCACCTATGGTGGATTTTTAGTTTTTTTTAACCTTTTGGTTTTTAATTTATAAAATACACTATCCTGAAACTTATTTCTAAATCTGAACTTTTTGTACACGCCACTCCACCAGATGTGGCAAAACAACATTGTCATGTCACGCACAATGGACATGCTAGTGTTGTTTTGCCACATCAACTTAGGCTGTGTTCGGCATCACTTTTTACTAACCCATCTCCCTCGTTTTTCGCGTACACGCTTTTCAAACTGCTAAACGGTAAGTTTTTGCAAAAAGTTTCTATACGAAAGTTGCTTAAAAAAATCAAATTAATCCATTTTTGAAAAAAAGCTAATACTTAATTAATCACGTGCTAATGGATTACTCCGTTTTTCGTGCATACTTGTCCGGTTGGGAAACTAATGCCAAACACAGCCTTAGCTGGTGTAACGAAGAATAACGCTATCACGCTAAAGAGGTAGCTATGGAAAAAAATTGTTCCACCATGCTAGCAAGAATGTCATGATTAAAAGGTTTAGATTTAAAAATAAGTTTTTAGAATATAGTTTTAAAATGAAAAATGATAAAAAAAAGATTAAAAAATTTCTCGTATGGTGGCGTTTCATGATTCTTGGTTCCACGTATCTATGGTATCTATGACATATGGGTACTAATCCCACAAGGCATAAACACATTAATTATAGGGTTCGGAGCTTTATGTACAACCTCTAAATCCACATCTTTAACTTGTGAGGAAGGATTAAAAAGAAGTATAATCAGGCACTTTATGTACAACCTCTAAATCCACAGCTTTAACTTAGTGATTTCATCATCTCCGTTACTATGTCTGGGAAAGACAGACAACTTATAATCAGGCCAAGAAAATTAAGAATAAAAATAAAGAGGGTTAAGTTGGTACGAGTTGTAAGATGAATTATATTTAAAGAAACAAATTCATATAAATTGTGCATATTTTGCAAAGCGAGTGTATTCAGTTAGATTCCTTATGGTGTAACCAGCTCACCCAATTTTAAGATTTTAGATTTGATATGGGTGTTCGCGTTTATGATTAATTATTCTTTTAGTGATAGACCCATCGATGTACCGAACTAGTCAGTTTTAAGATATACCGAACTAGTCTTTTGGAGTATTTTTTTTATTTTTTAGACTTTTTATTTTTTTTAATTTTATTAATAGTCCTTTCCAAAAAGTATGACACTGGCGTGGCTAAAAGGTTCAGTTTTTGGAAATATTTTTTTAAACCATCTATAAAAAAATTTTCAAAAAAAATCTCTTTCAGATGTGCTCATAGGATAGGATAGAGTATGCATGTGTGCTTGCATTGTGTTTTTTTTTAAAGAAAATATTGTACGTATTTTTCATTTTAATGGGAACCAGAATAGGAGTACGAGTGTACAACCTCCACTAGACAAGGGAGGACCGAAGTACTTAAGCCAAGTGCATATAGGGGTTGAGAAGGACCAAAGGCTAGGCGCTTAGGTTGATGGAGAGGCTTCAGAGTGCCACCCGCGTGCCATTTTGTCGGTGAAGCGTACTATTTGCGTTGCCAGAAAATGGTGACCACGGTGCCATGCAAAATCGTCAATCTAGTATATAGATGTCTCATTCTCACGCATTCATCAGACATGTGCGTGGATGCATGTTAAGCTTCTCAATTTGTCGTGTGGAAGACTGAAAAGAAATTAAACTCAGCAGATTTTATGGCAATTCTGCTTGGAGGGCTTTTCTTTTTTCTTTTTTGGCTGCATAAGACAAGACAAGGAAGATACACCACCGATATAGTGAAAAGTAATTTTAGGATAAGACTTTTTTACACTTGTACTCGTGGCGGTTAAAAAATCAAGGCTGAGTTTCAAATTCGACAAAGGAAACCATAATTAATTCTAAAGTTCAAAATTAGCAATGGCTTTTAAGCTCAAACAAACGGGGCAACTCTATTACGATCCTTGATTGGGAGTACTTGGTAGATATATGCAAAAATGAAGGAAGAAGGAAAAAAAACATGGTGGATGTTTGCGGGAGCAGAGTAGTACAGTTTCTATTTTACAGCTCGAGCTCATCCTAAAAACCTCTGTATAGTTGTAGCTGCAGTTTTTCTAAAATATTTTTTACTACTATATTCAATAAAATTGACATATTTTGTGTTAGTTCGTTAAAAAATGCATGTGCTTGTACGATACTGTGAAATAGGATAAATTAATTCATGCAAAACTGTATTTGTGCAGGTGGTATAGTTTGCTTACATACCTAGCTTCTCTTTGTTTAACTTGGAGTATTTGTTGGAAGTAGGAACTGCAACCGGATCTGGGGCAACAAATAGTATAGCAGACCTTTGCTCTCATAGATTCTGACAAAGACATTTACAAGCATTTCCTTCCAATTTACGATGCCGCAGCAGGAATCCACAACTTCTATTCCGGTACAAAACAATTTACTTTGATTTCATTTTGTTTCTTTCGAGATGGTTGGACACGTGTTCATCCTGTTTATTTCTGCAAAATAAGGGCTCAACAGGTACTCCATAAAATATGAAAATAGCACCAACCAAGACCCATATCATCAGGACAATGACAACACAACAGCATTTCTTAAATTAATTAACATCGCAATTAGTTCTTTGTTCCATGTGCTTGTGCTCTCGTGTGTCCCAGCACTACGCCCATGTTCTGATCGTTCGAAGAGGACAAGGATACCACTACAACGGTAGCTTCAAAACGCATGAGACAAGATGAAAAAGCGTTTGATTAAGCATGTTAACGTACGTGCGTGTGTGTGCTGTGTGAGCATGGAATTTGCTCGGTTTTAGTGTAAGCTCCTCGGTTATTGCAGCTTAAGAGAAAAGGACTAATCAGGGTGTTGTTAAATGCTGAGATGAGTACCTGTGAATCGTGTGAGATGCTGAAGCCAACAAACAAAACGGGACGGACATGCACCGGTCAAGAATCTTGAATTTGGGGTTTCAAAAATTGGCATCGAACAGAACAATTGGAGATGGTGTGTGGTGCATGTACGAAGCAGCAGCATTGAAAAACACCACTGGGGAGAAGATGTGTTTGCTGGGTGATATTCTCAGTTGAAGTAGTGGCCGTTCTACAGCCTGACATGAAAGCTGTAAATGTTAGTAGGTCCCAAGCATTATTAGATGACACTAAAAGTACGAACTAAAATTTGGGAGGCAAGCAGCACAGCTTAAAAGCCAAAAGTACACACTTTTCTTATCTAAAAAGTACTAAATGTATGGAACATTTCCAGTTATTTGACAGATGCTGTAAAACAGTGGTCAAATTTCTAAAACTTTGAATGCTCTGTTGGAAAAACATATATATATATATCTATAAATGCATTATGCAAATGATAGGATATTAGTGATTGACTTCCATACTTCCATATTGTTACTTTGCTCGTACAGGGAAAAAAACTCAAACGTGTGTACCAGCACTAAATCAATTGTCAATGTGTCTAAAAAGTCAACATAAGAAAAAAGGAGGTATAGTGGAAGCATACAGAGCAAAACAAATATGTGTGCTGACTAGTATCTGCTACATCACTACGTATATGTATGAGATCAGATTGGTAGGTAGACTGTTTAACCTTCCTAAATATCCTGTTCATTTTCAGGACTGGATTAGATGCCGATTTCTCATGCCAATTCCAGATTTATTTGGCCATTAAAAAATGGCATCCTCCCTTGGATGTGGAGAGTGAGAGAGGAGGCATTGTACCTTAGTTTTGATTAACTAAAGCAAAAGAGGTTCCATGATCAAGTAGGCAGATTCCATAAGGACGTTGTAATTCATAACTCACCAACACAGAGTAATTGTTCAGTAAATATACAAGGAACTTGCAAGCAGATTGCAAACTCAAGGAAACTTCTAGGAAAATTGCAGTTAACTTTTTGCTGGAACAACTCACTAGAACTAGATTTTCAGCATCGTCAGGTTTCATGTGACACATTGCTTTGTTAGCTGTCTGTCTCTTGCATGCTAAATTTCAGTTTCAAAACATTGGATAGAACATCTTATCAGTAGCTGCAAAATTTTCCAGATGTAAGAACGATGTAAAACATGCAAGAACAGTGCACTTATATAGTTGATGGGCTCTCATATTCCATAGCAGAATAGGCTCAAGTTATCGACCATGGCCCTCATGAAGACAGGTTTATCAAGATTGCAATGCCAAGGGGTGATCCAACACAATTACACAAGTTGCTATCGATAGTACGACGCCAATATGCAAAGCAAAACAGATGAAGCTGTAGTCACAATCAATTCCTGGCATAAGATAGCCACCAATTAGTTTTACTTCACCTGAAAACAACAGCAACAATATTCACTAGCATTCTTCCATTACATGTTCTCCACCAGAAAAAGAGATTGCACTTATTGCTTACTCCAGTATTCTTATTAGAGTTTTTAACTTTTAGCCTCCAGCGAAAAAATATTATTTTCAGGAGGCTTGTCTGTCTTTTTAAAAACACTAACAACTTTCCAGTTTCTACTTTATGACAGAAGTGAAATTTTTTAAGTGTGTAACTTAGCAAATGGGAGAAAATTTAAGTGTGGAACTTATCAGCTTAATGGCCTCATCTTTTCGCTTATGCTTATGCTTATCAGTCAAAATTTGAATTTTCAAACTTAAATTTGGATTTGATTTTGGGGTTTTTTTAACGAAGTTTATTTTTCAGCCTTTGCTTTTAGATCGCTAAGAACACGTATATAAAAGTTCTATTCACACATTATTTTTCGTTTGCAAATATGCCGTTTCGCTTATTCCCCGAATAAGCGAAACAATGGGGCTGTAAATGTGATCTTGGTAACAAGAATGAATATAAAAATGTGGCACTCTGATCCAATAAAATAATCCCAAACAACATCAGATATGCTCAAGCATAACATACCTGGAAGTTATAAACAACAGATGGAATATACTGCCCAAGAAACTGAGAAAAATTGGCTAGCCCAGTGTAGCCCTGAAAAGGATAAAACATTAGGGTGAGGATACGAATACTGAGAAACAGTAGAGAAAACTGGCAGATAAACCAATAGTTTAGCATCTAGATAGCACTGTATCCGAACAACCCACTAACCAGGGATACAGCAAGTATTGATCCAAGTACCAAACCCAAACTACGGAGTACTCGTTTTGCCATGTGTATGCCACGACCTTCAACCTCACCATACTCCTGCCACAAACATTTTATTTCAATATTATATTTAACAATTAAGACTACAAATAATAAATGTAGCGCACCAGCACAGATACAAGGATAAATGGTTTAATATTCCAAACTTTGGACAATATCTACTTGTTCCGAACGATGCATCATTTAATATATTATTTTTGAACCTAACAGCAGGAGGGCTGCCGCTTTGTATTAATTAGCATGCAAGAAACAAAGAGCAAATCCTTTTAAAGACTTTAGAAAACAAACGCATACTGACTACCTGGTAAACAAAAGCTCTAAGCAGGACGCAGCCACCCAAGAGCAGGCATGTACACCCCTGTTCTTTAATTTTGTGAGCAGGGGCTGATAGAGTCAATCGACATTTTTTTTAAAAAAAAAGTTGATACAGGCATCATTTGGTTAAACTTGTTGTATATGTAGTTTTGTGAATTTTTCTCTGGAAGCTTCACCACTTCTGTATTGCTATCGTTATTTACATATAGATGAGTAGATGGGCCTCTAGCTAATGGGCCAGCACACAAACACACACACACTATTCTATTTACAGCCCAACAGTATACACATCCATCTTTAGAGTAAAATGTGTATCTTCATGACTAAAAGAAATTGTAGCAAACTCAAAAGAAGGGTACCCTCATGCAATGCTTTCCCCAATCAAGGGGATGCCACATTATCTATCCGGAACATTAGCTAGACTTCTTCTGTGATTCTGTCAAGCTGAACTGCAAAGCTAAAAACTAGTGACCAAGTAATCTAAGATCCTTAATACAAGACAAGCATGCACTTATGTAACTTTGTAACTAAAAAAGGAGCCACATATATCAAATATATGCATTCCCAACTCATGAAAAGTAAGAATTCCATCCCATCTAATAGCTCCATTTCCCTAGTGTACCTTTTGCTCTTATCATATCTGAACTACAATAGAGTAAAGCAAACTGAACCAATTTGATTATTTGATATGTCATTCCTGTAAGTGCAGGGATTCCATAGAAAATGAAAAGGGAACAGCAAATAAAATTATTTAGTAAACCGCCTCACATTGTATATAGGAGTGCTAGCTGACTCGGTAGCCTTCAGTTTGTCAAGTATTCGATAGAAATAGGCAAAACACAAAAACTGCATGGGCTTCCAGTCTGCATGGCCCATGGTAGATATATACATGATCTGCAAAAAAAAAAGGATAAAAAAATGTCCATTAATAAAGTACCTTTTCTCCATACACAAAATGACTTGCCCAAGATAGGAAGTTTGGCAAGCTGATGATTAAAAAAATCCTATGTGAAATAATGCTGAAATTCAAATTATTTTCTATTGTGTAATTTCAAGTTTAACACCAATGCATATAACAAAGTTGAGTACAGAGGAACAATCCACTGGGATTCATAAAACATTGTGTTTGATTAAAAACAGTAATTATTAATATTTCAATGTGGTACTTGGGATGATACAGAAAATAATTTTCTTACAAATGTTGCTGATATTGCCATATTAATGCGCAGGTCCTTCCCAGTGGATCTTGAGTATCTGCAAGATGATCATGATGATGATCATGAAATGGCAATAGCATAGCACTAAAGCTAACAAAGAAGTGGATAGGTGTTAATGTGTGATGATATTTCCAGTGGCCCAGAGTTTTAATATTTGGAACTAACATGTGAATAATCAACAGTTATGCTAGAGAAAAGTTAAAATTTAAAAACAATAAGGGCATGGGCATTGGATCATCAAGTTTTGCTAGAGAACTGCATTAAGTAACAAGGATGCCCAATTCATGGATGCAGGATTGCAGTCAAGAATTAAGTCTGTTAAGTCTCCTAAGATTCATAGTGTATAGATGCATTGGAAAACAAAATGTACACAGTATATATTGAAGAAGCACATGAAGAGATTGGTTACAAAATGTGAACTGTAAGGTACCTAGGCCCCCAAGGAACCACTGGTTGATTATCAGCATATTTAATGTCCTTTGACACCTAATGTTCAGAAAGAGAACTGAATAATCAGTGAAAGAAAACATCAGAATAGAGAATTATCATGAGACTCATTTCATTATTAGCCATATGTTGGAAGGATCCTCTTAAACATGGCAACCGACAGAGGTCTCATGAAGTTCACTCCAGTAAGGAGACTAGAAGAGTCGATGCAAGATAAGTCATCTAAGATCTCCGTCAAATTCACCATGCTAAAGTAACCATCAAGCTTAATAGCAGGCAATGCGTTGCTTGGTTAGATATCTCTGCATCTCAAACTACGTCGCTCAACAGTAAATATCAGTATGTGTTTATTTTAGCATGAAGGAATTTAACCAAGGAGTACCAAACGAATGGTAACAGTCTGTTACCATATACAGAACAAATCAGTTTTGCAATTACAAATCAATTTTGTGAATATGAATCCTCATATCTAACTCTAATTGGATACATATGCCAAATTGCCGACTGCATGGGATTGAACAGTGCTACCGTAAACGGTGGAGCACATACAAAAAAAGGGCAGTAACGCGCAAGTGCAAACTTTGTTGCTGTAGACCATGCATCATCAATGTGACAAGGAAATAATAGTAGAGAGTAACCTGGATTGATCCATATGCCACCCCATTCTTCCGGTTCTGAAGCTGCTCCATCATGACCATATCGTATGCCCTCTCTAACTGAAATTCGACAAAACTCCATCACTCATCAATACATTAACAACACAACAGTAACCAAATTCTGAACCCCCATGACCCAAAACCACCTTGAACAGGTGCTCGGCATCTTTGTTGCTCTCGGCATCCTTTCGCCTCCGCTTATAGGCCATCTTCACCTGGTCGAACCCATCAAGTGGACTGATCCCCAAAATCTAACAAACAGGGACCAACCATCACAACAAGACCAGGAGCCACATCCAATCACTGAATCACCTGATCACCAACGAAGGCTGATCCTAAACATGAACATAGCCACTCCCAATAACCCAATCATTCTACCTCGTATGGATTCTCACTGTCCCCGGCGCCAAACTGCGCGCTCCCCGCCGCCGCCGATGCAGCCGCAACAACACCACCTCCACCGCGCTTCGCCGGCACCGCAGATAACCTGTTTTTTTTTCCTCATCGTGATTTACCGTGAATTAACAACTGCTTGTAAAAAAAAAAAAAAGCAAACCCCCACCGACAACTAATAAAGTGTGCGAAACCGACGAACTCTACCAACGTTGGGCTACGATTTCACGAGGCACGGAACCAATTATCCCAACAACGCGGGCGTAATTTACCTAGCGGGGCGCGCGACGACAATGGGGGCAACCCAATGAGGCAGGAAGACGTGGCGAGGGGAGGAGGAGGAGAGACTCCGGCGGAGGAAGAGGCTCGCAGCCGCCGTAGCGGATGCGGGCGCCGCCGTCGACATTGGGGAGAAGGTGAGGGGGCGCCGGTGGTGGGGGGGTAACGGCTAGCGGCGGAGGCGACGAGGCGAAGGCGGTGGCGGTGGTGGCGTTGCCATGGGAGGGGAGGGGAGGGGAGGTGGCGTGCGCTATCTGCGGCGATCGGAAGAAGGAAGAGAGTGTGGAGGAGTTAGTGGGCCGAGCGGGATGGATGGGCCTGATTGAGCCTTAGCTGGACTTTTAGGCCGTTTGTGTTCGGTTTTCATGGGCTTTCAGATTGTGCTTTTGTTGTGATGGAGGTGAATAGTTAAACGATTTTGCTATATCTCTATATATCTCACTTGAAAGATTTTTTTTCTTATCTCTCACTTGATTTTCTCACTCAAATTACTTCCGCAAGTTTTTTTTTGCACTCAAAACTTTCAGATTTGTGCATAAAGGGAAAATTTTGCTAGAAAGAAATTTTCACACATGTGACGTATAAGATTCACGTGCTAGCTAATGAAACCATAGCTGAATGTACGTTTTACTAGTAAGTTATATCGTGGTTACAATATAATTACAATATAGTTACAATGTATTAATTATATTTCAATTATATTATAGTTATATATGAAAGTTTTTGACTAAAAAATTTGCGGTAGTTTTTAAGATACTCCCTAAATGTATCTTAAAAAGTTATTGTTGTCATATATTAAAAATGGTGAGAGTATAATCTTTTGTTTTTTTACCTTTGAGAATGATAAATGAAGTAGTATCAATTCTATTATATGAGTTGAATCTCCATAGTGCCTTAGGATGTGTTCGGGAGGCAAGGTTGGGAACCTTGCCTCCTGACACGGAAAACGAAACACACGATTATAGTGAGATTAATTAAATATTAGCAAAAAAACTTAAAAAAATATATTAATATAATTTTTTAAAGCAACTTTCATATAGAAAACTTTTGCAAAAAAAAATCCACCGTTTAGTAGTTTGAATAGCGTGTGCGTGGAAAAACGAGGGAAGTAATTTGGGAAAGAGGGGAAAAGAACACAACCTTAAAATGATTGTGATTCTTGAAAGACAGAGAGAGAAGATTGTGTATTGTTTGCCCTATTTAAGTTGTATGGATACAAAGGAAATGCTTGCCTTTATCAATCCTTTGTAATTCCTTCACAATGAGTTTGTTGCAGACGGGACAGCAGTATTGAATTGATGTACATTTACAACAAGTGAACCTCCTAATTTCTTAATCTTAATATCTAGTATTTCTTTCTCTCAGCATAAAAAAATGTTTCCCCATGGTGGATTGGTGGTCATCCCCTCTACTATTCATCAATCATATTTCTCTCCATTCATTTTCCTATAATACAATAACTATGATATTTTTGGGTATTGAATGTCTCAAATTTTGAACCCCTACAGTCTTGTCTTGGAGACACTTGGCCAGTAGTTATTACTTCATCCGATTATAAATATTTGACATTTAGAATAGGATCTGACTAGGCTTTGAAATGTTGACCATCAATTTTACATCAGCATAAGTTTGTAAAATGAAATAAGCATACGGTATTATGATAGTACTTTTTCAAGAAAAATTCATGCATACCAGTTGTCCTTTTTTTAAAAAAGAGCATTTAAAAAATTATCGATGGACAAGGGTTTAAATGTTAGCCAAATCTTATACTAATAAACATTAAATATTTATAGAGTGTATTTCATCACTATAGTCAATTCCTGACCTCCTTCACATACTTGGTTAGTATTAATAAAAGTCAAGTTGAAACAAATTGACATGATAATGATTTGTTGTGTAGCCATATATATAGGACATCTTCAACTAGTGGTTCCCTTATCATCGTTGTACCCCTCCTCGGTAATAGGTTAGTTACCGAGCAAAACAGATAAAAGCTAAAATGCTAGAAAAGGTTAATTAAAAACTTTTTTAAATTCGTAACAAACATTTTTCGTTATTTAGCCTTGGTGGTAAACTATGGTGACCGATGGTCAAACCTTGGTTTCAACGAAGCCACCCATTGTAGTGTAAAAATATTTCTGTAGCTTAATTTAGGGGTTGTTTGGTTGGTGACCGCAATTTGCTATACCAAAATCTTAGACACAGTTGAATTAAGCTACACTTTATTAGCACATTGGCCCGTGCGTTATATTGTCATTTTCTAGCCAAAGTTTGCCATAATTGTGGCTAACAAATTGTTGGCCACATTTTGGCTACGTTCGATAGGACATGTTCCCAACTTCTCCTTCTCGTTTTTCGCGCGTACGCTTTTTCAAACTGTTAAACGGTGTGTTTTTTGCAAAATATTTTTTTACGAAAGTTGCTTAAAAAATTATATTAATCTATTTTTTTTAAAAAAAGTAGCTAAAACTTAATTAATCTCACGCTAGACGCTGCTTCGTTTTACGTGTCGGGTACCCAACCCTCACTCCCGAACACAGCCTTTGTGTGGTTTACTACAGTTATAGTAAAGCTAGTCTCCATCCAAACAATCCTTTAGTCCATATAACTTCGTATACTCCAAAATTCCACTCGTTCTACGGACATCACTAATACGAAGATCAAGTGGAAGATAGATATTTTTAATGACATGTTATTTTCAGTGAACACTTGAGGTCCTCACGATCCACAAACACACATTTTCGTAGATAAGTTCTGAAATACTCCATACGGCGGTTGTCACGATGTCATGATCGTCGTTACCCAAGGAAGAAGAAAAGAGTGGCATCTTCTCCACGCCAGTGTTCCCAACGGAGCATCTTTTCTTCCCCCACACGGCATCGACGTCACACTTTCTGGTGCAAACTTTAATAATTAGTCCAAAAACAAAAAAAGAATTTCGGCCACATCTTCTCCCGAAACGCCAGGTGGGCCCCACCTGCATCACTGACAGCCTGTCCCCACAACGCGCAGTCGTGTCCCCACCTGTCAGGATGTTAGCGTCTCCGTTGCAGGTTTCCCAGATCCCATCGCCGATCTGTGGGCCAGCGCCCACGGTGTCACGCCCGCGCACACCTGGCTCCAACCCACCCACCCCACGCGCTCCGTCGCCGACAGCGTGGACCCACCTAGGTGGGGCCCACCGTCAGTGGGAGATGGGTAGGGGAGCCCCCACGTGGGAGCAACGGGGGTTCTCCGGGCTCCCCGTCGCCGCGAGGTTAAATAACGGCCACCCGTTTCCCCCTCTCTCGCAAAACTCACCCAAAAGAGCAGCGTCGCCTCTCCTCCTCCTCCCTAACCCCTACGCTTCCAGAACCTTCTCGAAGCTCCCGCTCCCCCCCCCCTTCCGCTCCAATGGCGAAGGAACCGATGCGCGTGCTCGTCACCGGCGCCGCAGGTACGGACGGCGTCGCGCTCGCCTCACTTCCCCCTCGTTCTCTTGGTTTGCCGACGCGATCTCGTGCGGGGGGCGGTGGCTCGGATCTGGCTGCAGATCCGCGCCGATCCAGTGGAGGGTTTCGAGTGTGGTGGTTGTAGATAGCTAGATCTCGTTGTGTGGCGGTTGATCTGGTTGGGGGGGGGGTGCGGATTATTTAGTGGGAGAAGGTCACTGGCGTGATTTGATTTCGGTACTAAGTTTTGTGGTTCGTGGATTGGATGAGCTCATCTGATGGTGGGTTGTATTAGATCTGGTTATTATGGTCGCTTGATCTGGTTTTCGGGGGACTGATTTTGCTTAGTTTGTGATAGTTGACTCGAGTTTGTGTTAAGTCTGTGCATGAGGTTTTAGTGGGGGTTTAGTGGAGATCCATGTGTATTTCTTTTGATCTGTAGGGGTTTGAGTGGTTTGAAATGGATCATGGTGTCGATTTGATGAGTGGGAGTGTGGGATTCCATAGTTAGAGGTGGGAGGTTAGTCTTATAGGTTAAAAGGGTTTAGGAGGGTTTACCTATTAATCTGTTAATCAAATGATCCGATGGGAGCTAGTCACAGTTGTGAGCTTGGTTCTCAAAGACATACACTGATAACTTGAGATGTTTGTCTTGAAACATGCATTTAATTTAGTTTAGCTCTGGAGGGTGTGTCCCTTCAATTTGGCCCCACAAAACTGTTTGGGATCGGGTTTGTATTCCGTCAAGTTCTGGCATGTCTTATCCCAGCTCAGGATTCAACTGCAAAAATTATCATGCATCCATATAGTGATAGTGACTTTGATCCAAAATTCCGTCGTAGATTCTCCATCTGGGATTTGGCAGGATATCTTGGCATTTAAACATTTAAATCTAAATAATTAAATTGCATTGCACATGCTTAATAAGTGGGATTAGCACCAAATTGTAGGGTACTAATAAGGAAAAGGCTATGCATACTAACTTTTTCTTACTAAATTCTTATTACTAACACTGATATGTCATGCTATGAGTGCGTCTAAATTTTTTATAACTTCCATCTACTAAAATCAAATGGTTGAGATGATTGTTAGTAAAAGTTTAGTAAGAAAAATTTAGTATGTGTAGCAGTGCTCGTGCTAAAAATTGATCTACACAAGTTGGGGTTCTTAAACCAAGATATAAATGGTTTTTGTTTATCCATCTCATTCTAATCTCTTGTCTAGTGTGATCCATAGTTAGAATTGCTAAATTGCTATAAATATTTTCTTTCAACAGCTGAAAACTATCACTGTCTTGTTAACTTAAACTAGTTTGCCTTCATTGTTATGAAAGCTTCATTTTTCTGATGTATGCTTATGCCAGATGGGAACCTAGCTGGCAATTAATTGAATTAGTTAGTTCAATCTGATGTGGTGTGCACTTCACAAACACTTTTGTAATGTGGTCTGAGGTCCTCTTGTACGTGGAAAGGGGTGCTTTGTTCTCCACTTAGGAGCTCGGGCATTGGAAATGTAACTGATTGTTGGTTAGTACACTCTGAATCCCACTCTTAGCCAGGTTGGATCAGGTGAAGCCCTGAGGAGGGGCCACTAGCTTTCTTTTGGGTGCTTTCACGAATGATGATAATAGGTGATATGGTAATCAGCATGAAAACAAATGTATTTTTTTATGCTCATCTGGAAATGTAGCAGTATTTGAAAGCTGATGGTTTGCACTTCATATGGAATGCAATACCATTGTTGCTTGTGTGTCTTAAGAAATTTGCACCCAGGGGCTTTCTTTTGTGAGCTAATTCATTCTTTTATTCCGCAGGACAAATT